TCAAGTGGAGCCACTTCCCACGCTGTGACCTGGGGTGGAGGGGCAGCAGGGTGCTCCTTGTGGCATCAGCTGCAAAGCCACACCTGCAACCAGGTCTCTTCCTCTGAGGGCAGCATCCTAATCACGGCCACACAGCCAGCGGAGGCCTTGGTGGGCGCAGGTGGGGAGGAGGAGCCCCAGGGCTCACACCCAGCGCTGCATTCAGCAGATGACAGACAGATCTGCAAGGTCCTCCCAGCCTGCAGCTCAGGCAGGGGTCCTGCAACAGCGCAGACCACCGACCTGCGGGGGCCCCCTGGCATGACCGGACCGCACCTTTGAAGAATGTGCTGCAGTTCAAGCTGTTTCTCAGGTGACCTCAGCCTGCTAGATGGTCCACGTTCATCGGCCCTCAAAGCCCGACAGCAGCTGCAGGGGGTCCTCATTTCTGATCTTACCCGTGAGGAACAGCATCCTAGCGACACTCAGTGACTCCCCTACAGTCACACACCTGAGAGAGGTCAGAGCCAGCACTGGAGTGCAAGTCTGATGAAGCCATCCAGGGCGCACTCCGCACTCTCACAGTCACCCAATCGTCTGCCTACTCCTTGTAGCCACTTCACCCCCTCTACATGCCCTACAGGTGTGGTCCCCATCCCACCTCAGCCTACTGGGTCTACTTCTCCAAGGTCACCATGACCTCTGGGTTCCCAGACACCTTCCAATCTTCCTTCTCACCCACTGCTGTGACTGCTCTTTCTCACTTTCATTGCTGGCTCCTCTCCCTTCCACCACCTGCTCAAGTCAGAGGTCATCCAGGTCTCTCTGCCCTGGGCAACCTCACCCTGGCCTGTGGCCTCTGCTCATATCTCTGCCCTGGGTTACAAAGTCAAGTTCCAACCACCTGCTGGATGTCAGCAGAGGGATGTGCACACAGAGAGGCAGAATGCACGGTCATTAAGAGCACGAACTCTGAGGCCAGACCGTCTGGGTAAGTCTGGGCTCTGTCTCTGCCTGTGAGACCTAGAGCAAGTTGCTGCCCCTCTCTGGGCCTGCTTCCTCATCTCAGGAACTGAAAGGCTAGCAGCACCTCCCCCCTGGGCTTGTTGAGGGAATAAATGAATTAGTACATGCAACGTTCTTAGAGCGGTGCTGACATGCTACCCTGATCTTCTTATTCTGCCCACTACATCACATTTGCTGTATAGTTGCCATACATCGTCGGATTTGATTTTCATACTTTTAGGATGAACATTCATTGTTCTCCCCACATTACAGATGGAGAAACTGAGGCTTACAAAGTTTCAGGAACTTGTTCAAGATCACACAGGTAATGTGGTAGGGCTGGGCTTGAACCTGGAGATCCATCTAGCACCAAAGCCCATGTGCTTAACCATTGCACTCCCTTCACTTAGCTCCCCAAGCTCAGAACCACAGTCACCCTTGATGCTCAGCAGCTCTATTCACTGCTATACCAATCAGGGGCCAGGCTTTGGCCACTTGACCTTGCCCTGCCATTCCCTCCTCCCCACTCCCACGGCACTCTTGCAGGTCGGCCTCTTCTGTCTCCAGGATCCTTCACTTCCAATCTGTCCTCCAAACTGAGGCACATAGTAATCCCAAAGCATAGCTCTGTGCTCCTGCCACGCATTCCCACAGCTGCACTAAAGCCATGACGCCCATCCCAGCTCCGTGGGAAACTGGAAATAAACTGAATGTCTAGTCATAAGGGAATAGTTATCTAGAGTCTGGGTCACATACACAAAGGGAGTATTGTTTAGGCATTTAAAATGCTTATCAACAGTTTATAATAACACTTAAATCTTTAATATATTAAAATTAAGAGAAAAAGCAGGGAATAAAATTATACGTATCTATACTAATAAAAGGGTAATATGCTAATTAGACTAGGAGACCTTCTGGGAGACCTTCTGGGAGACCTTCCGGATGTCCTTCTGGACAAAGCCATGGTGGCGGGGCAGAGGCAGAGACGGTTAGGAGCGATCAGGCCAGCAAGGGGGGCAGTTGGGGGCAAGAAGGCCAGTGCGGGGGGCGGCATTTGGGGCTGAGCAGGCCGGCAGGCAGGTGAGCAGTTAGGAGCCAGCGGTCCTGGATTGTGAGAGGGATGTCCGACTGCTGATTTAGGCCCAATCCCTGTGGGGGGCAGTTGGGGGCAATCAGGCCAGTGGGGGGTGCAGTTGGGTGTGAGCAGGCCAGCAGGGGGGTGCAGTTGGAGGTGGGCAGACTGGTGGAGGGGGCAGTTAGGAGTGATCAGGCTGGCAGGCAGAGTGGTTAGGGGCAATCAGGCAAGCAGGCAGGTGAGCGGTTAGGAGCCAGTGGTCCCGGATTGTGAGAGGGATGTCCGACTGCCAGTTTAACCAGCAGTCAGACATCCCCCAAGGGGTCTCAGATTGGAGAGGGTGCAGGCTGAGCTGAGGGACACCCCGCCCCCGCATGCATGAATTTCATGCACCAGGCCACTAGTGGATATATATGGATATATAAAGGCTATAGCTGAGCACGTGCAGAAAATAGTTCTGCACTGGGAAATGACTGGACGATGTGACAAAAGTCTCCATTTGTTGAGTGCTAATTATGGCCCATGGTAAGCACGTCTATGAATTGACTTATTTCCCAAAACCACCCGTGAGATAGGTACTATTACCATCACCTTCATGTCACTAATGAGAAAAGTGACAGACACGTGAGGGCAGAGCAGATTCACGCACTCTCCCCTGCCCTCGGGGTAGTGCCCCAGCCACCGTCTCGCCAGCCTTGCCCGGGCAGTAGTGATTAACTGGGATGTGGCAGGGGACACAATGATTTTTCCCCCCGTTTTCTCTACTCTCTATAATGAGCACGTGTTCCTTTTAGATCATGTCATTATAAAAAACAAGATGTAATTGTAAATGCTGTCTTTGGATGAGCCAGTAAACTCTAAGGGACGTCATGTAACCTCAGCCTCTCTCCATCACGCCTCCTCCCTTTGCTCCTCGCACCCAGAACATGCCCCATCCTGCCCACCTGAGCCTGTCAGTGTTTCTTTCTGACTAGACCAGGGGTTGCTAGCCTGCTGCCTGGGATCTGGGTGAAGAACAGTGGCCTGTGAACATGCGGGGGTGTGGAAGGGCACTATTTCTCTAATCCTAACTGAAGTTTGGCACTCCTTTTAACGTTGAATTTAGGCAAACCGCAGTCTAGCAATAGCCCCGGTGTCTCTGTCGCCAACAGACATCACAGTGTTTTCACACCACATTACAGTGCTGCAGACAGCTTGAGGTGTAATTTATATTCATAATTAATTCCAAATTACATTAGCAGTTAGACCTGCTACGAGGCTTGGCTATTCAATATACTAATAAAGCACATATATTAATATTTCACTGTTAAAATATTTTAACTGCATTACCACTTCCTTGATCATCCTATCTATTTTAATTTATTCATTTGAACTCTTTTCTGAGGAGGAGTCCAGACTATGGTGGGCAAGGCCTGTGCTTGCCCTTCTGCCTGGTGATTCCCACTACCCTCCCGCCACTCAGACCTGCCGGGTCAGAGGTCTCCCTCCCTCCGCTCAGTGCTACTCTCCGGAGCCACCTGCTGGGGCAGCTCCCTGTTCTCTGAGTTCCTGGCAAGTTCCTGCCCCTTGATAGTTCATTCTCACAGAGAATTTTCTCCTAAAAACAAATTCTTATAGAAGGCCACAATCCCTTATTCCCAACCCCCAAACACTAAAGGCTCTGAAACTGATCAGAAAGAATGCATGCCCCCCCCCTATGTGCATAGCAGCACAATTTACAATAGCTAAGATCTGGAAACAGCCCAAGTGCCCATCAGCAGATGAGTGGATAAAAAGCTGTGGAACATTTACCCCAGGGATAACTATGCTGCTGTGAAAAAGAAGGATCTCTTACCCTTTGAGACAGCATGGAGGGACCTGGAGAGTATCATGCTAAGTGAAATAAGTCAGTCAGAGAAGGACAAGTATCACATGATCTCACTCATATGTGGAATCTAATGAACAAAATAAAGTGATGAATGTAGTGGATCCTGAAACATGAAATCATGGAACAGAGTGCGGAATCTCGGAGGGAAGGTGGAGGAGGGTGGGTGGGAGGTAATCAACCAAAGACCTTGTGCATATATGCATGGCCCATGGACACAGACACTGGGGTGGTGAGGGCCTGGGGTGGGGAGGGGAAATTGGTGAGGGTAGGCTGAAAGGGAATTAATGGGGGGGAAAAGGGGATATATGTAATACTTTTAACAATAAAAATTTTTTTAAGGCTCTGAAACTGGATGATTTTCATTAAACCCTTGTAGTGGCAAAATCCGATCAACAAAGACAGATGTGAAGCCATTTATAATCTATACTAATAAAAGGGTAATATGCTAATTAGATCAGACATCTTCCAGACGTCCTTTCTCACAAAGCCATGGTGACAGGGGCTGAGGCAGAGGCAGTTAGGGGAGATCAGGCCAGCAGGGGAGGGCAGTTAGGGGCAATCAGGCGAGCAGGGGAGGGCAGTTAGGGGAGATCAGGCCAGCACGGGAGGGCAGTTAGGGGAGATCAGGCCAGCAGGGGAGGGCAGTTAGGGGCAATCAGGCCAGCAGGGGAGGGCAGTTAGGGGAGATCAAGCCAGCAGGGGAGGGCAGTTAGGGGTGATCAGGCCAGCAGGGGAGGGCAGTTAGGGGGCGATCAGGCCCACAGGGGAGGGCAGTTAGGGGGCAATCAGGCTGGCAAGCAGAAGCGGTTATGGGCGATCAGGCAGGCAGACAGGCGAGCGGTTAGGAGCCAGTGGTCCTGGATTGCAAGAGGGATGTCTGACTACCGATTTAGGCCCGATCCCACAAACCGGCAGTTAGACATCCCCCGACGGGTCCTGGATTAGAGAGGGTACAGGCTGGGCTGAGGGACACCCCCCCCCATGCACAAATTTTGTGCACCGGGCCTCTAGTACATGGATAATTGAATGTAAGGATGCATTTGTTTGAGTATGAGATTCTGCCCTGAGCCCCCTGGAGATGTCATGTAATGTATGGTATAGGCACCACATGACCTTCCCAACATGTAGAAACTTCTGGATTCTAACAACATCCAGCCTCAGGCTCTGGTGGCCTGTGCCTGCCATTCTGTCTAACTCCATCTCCCTCACTGGAGTGGTGCAGGAACCAGTGCTCACCAGGTGCTGCTCGCCTGAGGGATGTGATCAATGAGCCCCGTGAGCAGTGAGTGCCTCCCCGGCAGCCCTTGCGGCCTGCTGGCCCCGGGAATTTCCCTTCATTCCCTATGGAGGAGGCCATGCTCAAGAAGAACAAGCCTTTTAGGGAGAACCCTGGGCCAGTCCCGGTCCGCAGGCCCTGCCATCCCTCCATGAGGACTCTGAGCCCAGGGGCAGGGAGGGAACCAGAAACTCGAGTGATGTTGCTGAGAGGAACTGGAAGCAACTGCAGGAGCAGCTGCTGGGATGGGAGACACGATGGGGGCTGCAGGAAGGGGCACTTCTTCGCTCTAGCTGTCGCTGGCCTCGCTTCCAAGGCCCTCGGAAACCTGGCTGGACCGGAGGGACTCATGGACACTTACTTTCTTCTGAGTCTTTCCAGGGTGGGCAGGGTCTGCGGTGACGCAGAGGCCCAGGGAGGGCGAGCTAGGCACCCCGGATGGCGGTTCCCCCAGCTGCTCCGAGCCCTTGTGGTCAACAGGTCTGCCTCGGGCGCCAGTCGTTCTTGGGGCAGAGGGACCAGGAGGACTCAGGCACTTCAGGGGCTGATGGAGGGGAGTGGGGGGTACGTGAGTCCTCTCCTGTGCGTGGTTGTGCTGCAAGCTGTGCACAAGCTGTGCTGACTGTCACCAGCAAGGCACACAATGGCCTCAATCAACACCAAGAGCCATCCCCTCCCAGTGCCCAGCCTGCAGGAGGGGACAAGGTGCTGGATGGATGGGCTTTGTGGCCTCTGAGCCCAGCAGGGGGTGTGAAGGTGGCACCGCAGGTCTCTGCAGTCCCACTGGAACGTCCTGTCACCAACAGCATGTTATCAAAGCCTTCAGCCTGGTCCCAGCCCACCCTGTGCAGCAGCACCCTGTACAGGGCAGAGGCGCTTCCAAGGAGACACCTGCACCCCAGACCTTGACAGTCGCCCAGGGAGGAGTCTTACACTGACTGTGCTGTTACTAACGGTGGTGGCATGACAGAGTGCACCTGGGACAAGGCTGCTCAGGTCTTTAAATGCGTCATCTCCTGTAATCCTCACCACAGCCTCGGGAATGGGAACTCATCATTCCTGTTACAGATGCTGAGGGGTCGGGCCCAGGAGACGCAGTCACTGCTGGGGGAGCCAGGGTTAGGGTCTTGGAGCAGCTGCCTCTGCAGCTAAGTTCTGACTGCTGGCCCCTGCCCTCTCCCACCGGCCCTCGCCAGGCCCCCCAGGAAACTCCCTGCTTCAGCCACACCCCCTGTGCTGTTTTTCTTAGGCCTCGAGCCTTTGCGCATGCTATCTTGCCTTCTGCATAAATGCTCCCCTCCCTTCTGGTCACCCACCCAACACTTCCGCTCTAGCCTGGAGGCCTTCCTGACACTGAGCTACGCCTTTGACCTCGTCCGACCTCCCTCTGTCTTTGCAGCCACTCATGGCAAGCCCAAGCAGAGCTCCTGGGTTATGTCCCTTCTCAGGTGTGAGGGTGAACTGTCTCCTGGGAAGATCTGGAGTTTCCTCTTCCCCGTCCGGAAAATGAGGAGGCTGAACCAGACGATGTCTAAGCACACAATTCAGTGCCTTTCTGAGTCCATCTTATGCATTGAGACGCTGGTGACTTGAGAAGGGAGCAAGGCATGTCTGTTGCGTGACACCTCCTATGCCCTCCTCCTCCTCCGCTGCCCCTCATGCAGCCGATGCATTCATGCATTCAGAGAGCGATGGAAGGAGACCAGCCCTCACCAGAGGCAGCTCCGCATCACCTGAGGTCATGGCCATGGAGCCTGCCAGAAGCCTGGGGGCTGGTACGGCCTGGGGGCTGGTAAAGAAGGAGCAGCCATGAAACCAAACATGACCTGCCTGTACCTCTCCAGGACAGGCCTGAACAGCCAGCATCCTCGGGTTTCCAGGGAGACAGTGTGGATGGCTGATAGCATGTCCGTCTCACAGAGCCCAGCCCAGGCAGTGTCCGGAGGAAAGGGGGCAGGAGCCTTGTCCAGTGGCTCCAGGAGACACTGATATCCGGGACAGAGGACGGGCCTGTGCAGCTCCCTGCACAAGGAAGCTGAGGTGGAGACAAGATACGGAGAGAAGGAGGGAGGACCAGGCTGAGGACCTAACAGTCTTGACTATGTCAGATCTGTGGGCTGTGGAGGGGGAGGGGAAGCCTGAGGCAATGATGATGCAGGGGCAGAGGGGGAGGAATCAGATGTGGATTCGAGGAAGCGTTATGAAGGACCCTCACTCTCAATAAACCCACTCAATGAAAGTCTATGTGGTTTTTCATGTGGACCAGACAGAAATGGGAGTGGTTTCCTGCCGTGTCTCCTCAGTGTCCAGGCTTGTTGTTAAGTCAGGCCCCTGTGAGACTGCCCATTGCCAGCCTTGCTCTCAACCATCAAGTGAGGTGAAGTCTGGACTCCAGTGTATTCTGTCTCTTTACACGTCATACATAACCTTTGATTCTGAAATTGCCACTGCGCCTTGGCAGACACTCCCTCCCTGCCCAAGGGTCACCTCGGTGGTTCCTGCAGAGCCTTTTGAAGTTCATCTACGGCTAAGAGAAGGCACAACGTACGTTGTAGGGTTACTTTCCGGCACCCAGAACGTCAGCACCAGGATCTCTCACCTCCTGAAGCAGAGTCCCTGTCACAGGGTGGCAGGCGTGAGGTTGGGGATGTTGTCAGGGCCTCGGAGCCACTACAATCCTTTAAGTTAACAGTGCAGATCAGCCCTGGGCTACCAGCCTCGGAAGACACAGCCCACAAGGTTGGGCAGGAGCTGGCTTTGCGTGGCTCAAAGCTGTCAGATGTATCAAGCCCAGAACTGGAAAGAGGGGACTAGCTAATCACAAGGGGTGCCCAGGAGGCACACTGACACACACGGGCCACCGAGAGGAGTCCTGGGAACACAGGCTGCTTGCTGCACGCAGGGAGGGCTGGCCTCTGAAAGAGAAGAGAGGAGAGAGGGGGGTGGG